GAATAGCCTTAGAATCCTAGTTGAGGGGCGCCTGGATGGCTTAGTCGGTTAAGCGTCCGACTTTTGCTTAGGTCATGATCTCGCGGTTCGTGGGTTCGAGCCCCGCGTCGGTCTCTGTGCGGACTGCCAGCTCAGAGCCTGGAGCTTGTTTCAGAGTCTGTGACTCCCTCTCTCTCTGACCCTCCCCTGCTCACGCTGTCTCTCTCTCTCTCTCTCCCTCCTAGAAATAAATTAAAAAAAAAAAAAAAAAGAATCCTAGTTGAGTCTTTATTTTACGGTTTATTACAAAGTGAGAGTTCTCCTTACAACTTAATGCCCAAACAGATGTAACTCAGGGAGCCCCACTTAACGTTCTATAGGTTTTAGACGTAGAACAGATGAGTAAGAGACCCCCCCCCCTTTTTTTTAACCATCCCCTCTTCAAGAAAACCTTAATTATCCTTGATGGTCAAGTTAACTATAATTATATAGCAAATTCAAAAAATTATCAACTTCAGGTCAAGTTACAAATGTTAGCATATATTCTGGGAAAGTGAAATTCAGACAATAACATAAGAATGAAGACTAGTACTGATGTTTAGAAATTACCCTTCACACTGCCAAACTTTTAACTTTGCCAGCCCATTAAGAAAGGCTATTATATTTACACATTAATATATAAAACACCAGGCTTTTTAAAGCTTGGAGAGATAATATTCTTCATATTTGGCTCCATGAATAGTTATTTCTCCTGTACAAAAGATAAAGAAGATATCAAAAAATTAAATTTTTACTGTGACCACACCTCAGAGGAACACATTTCTTCCCCGAGTACTTTCCACAGTTTCTTGCATAGACTGTATAGGTCTCTGTTGGCAACAGGTCTGAGTAAAGGTCTTCTAACATTTTTCTTCCGTGCAATTTTTAAGCCAAATTTTAAGACACATCATCAAAACCAAACACACATATGTCAATACCCAAACCAACAAATTAGCTATTATACATACATGTAGACATCTTAGTAAGTTGACTAGTCTTCAGGAGAAAGTTATGTAGTATAATACAGGGAACATTTGCAGTGGAGGCAGAAGAACCCATCACTTGCAAGCTATGCGACCTTGGGCAATTTCCTTCTCTCAGTCTGTGTTTTCTTGTTTGCAAAATGAGGTAATAATTCCAATCATATAAGGATTAACTGTATGTGAAATGCCCAGCACAGAGCCTGACTAAAAGCAGAAACTCAGGAAACAGTTACTGTTACTACCCTGTTGCTATTCATGTAAATTCCTTAAAGGCAAAGCACCCTTTTACTTGTAACTCAATTGTAAACTCTGTTAATTACTGAGTAGTGAAAAAATAAAGACAAGAAACATCAGTTGGTGTTATCATTTCAGCACATGCCTACATAGGAAATCAGACTACAAAGCAATGATGACCTTCAGAAGTATATATCAAAATGAACAGAGTCCTTATTTTTATAAGCCCTTCAGAAAGGAGATGATGCTGTCTGCGTTCCGATTCGTGTACAGAACTACTCTTCGTTCCACATGTATTTCCAGAGCGTCCACACACTAAGTGGCAGTCATCATGCTAGGCGGTGTGCATTTGGCGGTGAGCAAAAGCAGACCCGTTCCAACCCTCGTGGGGCTTCCAGTCATGCAATCCCACAAATAGTGTAAACTTGTGAAAAGTGATATAAAGGACAGTGCATGGTGCTCTAAGAGCTAGTAACACAGATCTGACCTCATTGGGGAGATCAAGGAAGGCCATCCTGGGGAAGCGAATGCTGAGGATGAAGCGGGAGCTAACAGTGGAGGGCGTTCCCAGACAGGGGAAAGCAGTTTGTGCAAAGACCCTGCACCAGGAGAAAACAGCAGGTGTGCCAGACCAGAAGGCCAGTGTCTGGAAGAAAGATGAGGTGTGAGAATTAGCCAGGGCTCTAGACCACATGGGGGCCCATGCACTGTAGATCGTATGCAGGAGCTGCTATCTCCCAAGAGTAATGAAAAGCCCCTGAGGGTTTTCATAAATGCTTCTTTTTAGGGGCAGGGAGGCAGATGGGAGACACAATGAGATTTTCCATTTGCCTTTGCCTTCTGGAATAAGAGTAAGGAACACAGAGAGAGATCAGTTAGGAAACAAAAGTTCTGTAAGGATAGAAGAGCTTGGGGACTAGGGTGACGATGACAGTGGAAGAGGTTGATGAATTCAAAAGATATTCAGGAAAATCTGATGATGTGTAGTGTACGGGGCCTGAGGGAAAACAAAATGTTCAAGAAACTTCTGGGTTTCTGATTCACGTGACTATACAGAATACCATTCAGGAGACAGCTGTTCCAGAAACATCTTTAAGGCAGTTAGTTACCTAGCCTCAAAAGGACCTAAATGGGGGCAGCGCCTAGGTGGCTCAGTCAGTTAAGCATCCGACTTCAGCTCAGATAGTGATCTCACAGTTTGTGGGTTCAAGCCCCACATCGGGCTCTGTGTTGACAGCTCAGAGCCTGGAGCCTACTTCGGATTTTGTGTCTCCCTCTCACTCTGCCCCTCCCCCAGTCATGCTCTGTCTCTCAAAAATAAATAAATGTTAAAAAAAATTTTTTTTAAAAAGGACCTAAGTGCTTACATGCATTTCATTTTTGCCTGAACCTGGGTTAACCCACTGTGATCCTTTACTTATGATACAGGATTCCAAAAGATTGTTCAGTGTTCCCCAAAAGCAAATTGACCCTCAAAAGGACAAGATGTTTCCAACACCAAAGATATTTGAAAGATTCTGCCACATGCTTTAAAGTCAACTCCAAATGAGTTCTAAAATTGGTTTGAGGGGCACCTGGGTGGCTCAGTCGGTTAAGCGTCCAACTTCGGCTCAGGTCATGATCTCACAGGGGGGTTGTGACTTCCAGCCCCAGGTGCTGACAGCTCAGAGGCTGGAGCCTGCTTTGGATGATTCTGTGTCTCCCTCTCTCTCCCCCTCCCCTGGCTCATGCTGTCTGTCTCTCTCAAAAATTAATTGAAAATTTTTTGATAAAAAGAATAAAATTGGTTTCAGTAATGGGGCAGCATTATGAAATGAATGTGTCATTTCCCATGACTACTCAGATAAGACTAATACGAATTTGCTGCTGCTTAACATAATCATTTTAAATAAATTTTAACAGTGAAGAGTGCTCTCATGTGATATTAAACTAAAATATGAAATTTTACCAAGTATTACAATAATTGGAACTATGCTACTGTTATGTCTGTTTCAACATTTTGAAATGCCTGTAGAAAACTTGACATTTTGTAGGAAAAGGTATAATTTTAAAAACCCCACATACCTTCTTGATCTTAATAGATAAATATTTTACTGTTACCATCCAGTCCTTGTTAATGCCCATCACACTTACTTACCGTAAAAGATTTTCACTAAATACAAAAGATTTTATTAAACACTCTAAAAGTATACACATATCCTCTACACAGAGTAAAGCACTGACTTTATCGATACTTGTTTTCTTGGTTTAAATTTTTTAATTTGCAACCTAATCCCATTTTCACAGGGGAATACTAATGCTGTTAAGTCTTAGAAACATAGAAACTCTAAATCTGACTAATCCAAGGAAAAGAAGTGAATGGGTTTTGCCTCTTAAAAACCAACTCAGCATACCTTAGTACTGAAGTATTTCCCTCATTCTGGAAGGACAGGCTCCTTGGCCACCTGCTTGCACTAGGCCTTGACTAGCATTTTATTAACACTCAACTGCAGATACCAGGATGTTACCACTGTTCCTACAGAGCAGAATTTTTTTTTTCCTCCAATGCTGATTTTATCTCAAGGTGTGAAAAGGCAAGATAGTGGTTTGAGGCCAAATGTGAAAAATGTCATCTCTACAAACGAGGAGAAAAGTCAAGAGCTTTTTAAAAATCAGGTCTTACACCCATTAACTAATACGAGTTTGTAGAATCAGGCTGTCTCCACCCTAGAGACTGTGCTACCAAATGTGATCCTTGGGAATAAGGGCTGGTGGGCTTGAAACGGGTTACCAGAATGGTTCATCATCTTCTTATTTCAGGTTTTTGTTTTTTTTAACATGAAATCAGACTGTGGCTATATTTGAGCATAGCTAAGGCTGGGAATGGGCAGTGCCAAGGAAGAGACTGCTAAAAGCCTTTAGGGTTCCCAATCTCAGCTAGCAGATTTTCCGATTTTCCTCTGAAGGAGTGGTCCGTGTCTCCCCAGAAGGAATGTGGGGTAGGGAAAGTTCCAAGGGTGCTGGGCTTTTCCCTTACCCAAACCCCCAGAATGACACCGCAAACCACTTCCTTCTGGGAACTGAAGGTCATAAGCTTTAAGGGACAATGGAGCTCAACATAGGCTCCAGAAAGATGGAGACAGCGAGATGAGATGGGGGGCGGGGGGAGGGGAGGGAAGTGGCAGTGAGGGGATGCGCCCAGTCTCAGCTGAATAGGGCGGCCCAGGCCAGGGACTTCGGGAGCATGAGGCCTGGATCTTCCAGAATCTGCCCTAGTAGGCCTGCCACAGCCCTGTGAGAATCTAGAGCATCTGCGTACCCACTGCCTATCACCACTCCGCTCGGGTGCGGAAGATGTTCCCCGCAGGAATCCTCCCCACAAACGGGACTTTGCCTGTCCTTAAAAAAACACAAAACCTCAAGAAAAGAAGCTGAACATTTATAGGGGTGGAGGAACCGAAGGCAAGGAGGTGTTCAGCAAACGACGGGGGTTGGGGGTGGTGGGAGGGAACGGCCCCCCCCCCGCCCCCGTCCGAGGAACTTGAATTACCACCAGAATGGGGGGAGGGGGCGATCTGAGGCCCGCAAGCCTCCGGCACCGAAGAGGCCGGCAGCCGCGTCCAGCGGCGTCCCCGGGGTCTGGGGCTGACGGCCTGGGGCGCGGTCGCCGGGGGGAAGGGGCGCCCGCCGGCCCGGGCTGTGGAGCGCGCGGCCTCCGCGGGCAGAGGCCGGCCTAGGCCTCGGGGGTCCGGACACACCCACCGCCGAGGCCGCGGCCCCGCTTACCTGCTCCTCCTCTGGGGTCAGCTCCGGCGCCATGTCGGGCTGGGGCGCGGTCGCGGGCTCCATCCCGCCGCCGCCGCAGCCGCTGCCCGGCCGACCGAACGCTCCCAGGAGCGCGGGAGCCGGGTGCTGCCGGCCGCCGCTTCCGCGTCTCCGAGCCTCAACAGCCGGAGGCCGGCTCGCGCATGGTGGGGCCGGCGGGGCCGGGCGCCCGCTGCGGCCGCGAACGCCGCTACCGTCTCCTGCAGGAAAAGCTCTCACAACTGTCGCTCTCTTCGGGGCGGAAATCCTTTTTTATTTTCTTCTCTCCTTTCCCCGCACTCCCCCTCCTCTCCCGGAAAAAAAAAAAAAAAAAAAAAGGTGCCGGCGAAGAGCTAAATAGCCAACCGGGATTTAAAAAGGAAATAGGAACTCAAGAACTTTCTAAGCCCAGAGCGGAGGGTCTCGGTGGAAATTTCCCGAAGGCCGCCGGCCTCCTCGGCGTCCGGCTGCCCCGGCCGCGCTCCGGCTCGTCCGGAGCGTGAGGCGGAGTCCTCGGGGATGCGGGCCCCGGCGACCTGCGCGGCGGCCTCTCAGCCCCGTTCCTCAAAAGCCGCGGCGGCGGCGGGAGGGAGGGAAGAGGGGAGGGAGCGAGGAAGAGGCGCCCCCCTCCGGGCTCAGGGCCAGCGCTGCGGTCGCGCCGCGTCCGCCCGAGCCCCCCGCGGCTCCATTGAGAAACTGAGCGTCTCATTCACAAACAGGCGGCTGGAGGGCCGGCCGAGCGCGGACGCTGTCCGGGAGGGGGAGCCAGAGAGGAGCCCGGGCGGGGGAAGTAGGGGGCGGGGGGGGGGGGGCGGCGGGACCGGCGCTGGGAGGGGCTTCGGGCGACTCCCAGCTGCGGGGATGGGGTACAAGGAAGAAAATGGGCGTGCGTTTTACGGTTCAGCTCCGTGGAGGAGGAGATTACGTTCGTTTGAAAACGACCTGCCAGGGTTACTTGCCGCTGCCCCGACGTGTGAGGGACCCACAATCCTCATCTCTCTCCATGTCACTTGGTGACTGGAAGACCCTATAAAGGTTGCCTGCGAGGTCCAGGAGGTCTGCCTGGTGAAGGAACAGACAGACCCTGCTCTCACTTTCTCTCTGCTGCCTGTTTCCCTGTAATCCATAACCAGGATAGCTAAGTTTAGTACCTCACAAAAGCAGCATCCGATTTCAAACCTCATTCAGGAATCACGCAGCCTCTGCAAACCTTGGGCTTTCACTCGGGCAATCACAGCAAAGAGCATGGAGGCTACAGGATACAGTCTGGAGTCCGTTTGAGAGGCATAGGGAAGGCAGGGCTGGTCTACCATGTTATTGCATCATTTCAGACCTAAAAGAATTATTTCAAAAGGGGTCCAGTTAACAACCTACAGCTAGTCCTCATGGCCGGAGCCCTGGAGAGCTAGGAGAGAGACCAAGGGAGAGGTCTTCAGACAACTCAGGAAGGTGCCCTGCCTTCTGAGGCTCGTTCTGGGATTTGAGAAGCAGCCTCTGACTTCATCTCGTTTCTGCATCATTAAAATAGGAACTTCAGGTTGCCCTTGATTAGAAAAATATTGTGCCCTGACTTGTCACGATTTCAGATCCATGTTTTGAAACAAAGTTATTTGTGGTTTTATTTTATTTATTTATTTTTGTAAATGTTTTTTTTTTATTTATTTCTAGGAGAGAGAGAGACAGCATGAGCAGGGGAGGGTCAGAGAGAGAGGGAGTCACAGACTGAAACAGGCTCCAGGCTCTGAGCTGGCAGTCAGCACAGAGCCCGACGCGGGGCTCGAACCCACGAACCGCGAGATCATGACCCAAGCGAAAGTCGGACGCTTAACCGACTAAGCCACCCAGGCGCCCCTATTTGTGGTTTTAATTTGTTTTGATGAAATTGTTTTGAAGTTTGGTATTAGGACGTTCTTATCGAACTCTTGCACGGGAGTCAAGAGGACCATTACGTCACTGACACCATAGTAACAGCGGTGGTGTCCATCATGTGATGGACTTTTAAACTTTAAAACCCAGGAGGTTTGAACAGTAACTCTAGAGTGTTCAGTTTGGACAAGGCTACTCTTTGCTGATCTAAATAGCTCTCCAAAGATCTTGAGACATTTGCTCCCACTCTTAGGAAGAGTAGTGACCTACTTTTAGCCCTGGTGGTAAGCTGTGCAGCAGTCTGAAGAAGGGAAGGGACATCACTCCCTGCCTTCGACAGGCTACTCCTCGTAGGCAGTGGCACAAGATATGTAAATGTTCCGAATACCTAACCTTCAGAGCAGCCCACTTTGCTGCCAACCATAGCCTGATAGCCACATGCAGCTGATACCTCGCTTTTAGTTGGACTCTACCAAGAACCAACTGGTAGAAATGTACGTACACATCATCTAAATTTGGACTTTCATTCATCTCTTTCATCGTCCCTTTGTCTGCAACAATAGTGTAATTAATCTATCATTGGTTTAGAATATCCTATTTCTTTTTTGACTTATTAAGAGACATTATCCTGTGTGCTACTGGCTTGTGAAATATTATTATAAATTATAATTCCTGCAGTGAACCTGAGTTAAGTTACTGGCAAAGGTAATGTCAGTTTCTGAGCATAATTTTCCATGAGTAAAACAAGAAACCCCTGGAACTTGGATCCGTGGCTCTCTCAGGTAACTTATTTGCACCAATAAGTCTGACTCTTATTGAGTCAGTTGAGTTCATCACCCCATACAAGAGTTACAGTTTCAGTATTGCAAACAGATACTTCTCTGGGAGGCAGTCTATTTATTAAACAAGTATATTTTTATGCCAAGCACCAGACTTGGGGTATGTACTGGGCTTACAACAATGAACAACACAATGGTCTCTCCCACATATAAGGATATGGAATGATCCCTGAGTTTCCTGTGAAGCAGAAACAGCAAGACTCAAATAGTGTATATGATGTCCTTTGTATGAAGAAAAAGAATAAGAACATATAAACTTATTTATACATAGAAAGGATTTGGGAGGATACATAAGATCACTGGTTGGGGTGCCCGGGTGGCTCAGTTGCTTGAGTGTCCAACTTCAGTCATGATCTTGCGGTCTGTGAGTTCGAGCCCCATGTCAGGCTCTGTGCTGACAGCTCAGAGCCTGGAGCCTGCTTCAGATTCTATGTTTCCCTCTCTCTCTGCCTTTGCCCCCGCCTTGGCTTGCACTTTGTGTGTGAGTGTATGTCTGTGTGTGTCTCAAAATAAATAAATGTTTAAAAAAAGAAACATCACTGGTTGTCTTTCAAGAGGGGAAGTCAGAGTCGGGAGAACAGAAGGGAAAGAGGGACTTTTCCCTATATGGTCTTTTGCACATTTTAAGTTTTTGGTTTTCTTTTTTTTTTTTTTTTCTAACTTTTTATTGAAGTAAAACATACATGCAGACAGGTCAAAATATAAGTATACAGCATGATGAATTTTCATAAACTGAGCACACCCATGTAACGAGCACACAGATCAAGAAATAGAACATTCCTGGGGCGCCTGGGTGGCTTAGTCGGTTAAGCGTCCGACTTCCGCTTAGGTCATGATCTCGCGGTTCGTGGGTTCGAGCCCTGCGTCGGGCTCTGTGCTGACTGCCGGCTCAGAGCCTGGAGTCTATTTCGGAGTCTGTGACTCCCTCTCTCTCTGACCCTCCCCTGTTCACGCTGTCTCTCTCTCTCTCCTAGAAATAAATTAAAAAAAAAAAATTAAAAAAAAAAAAGAACATTCCTAACTTGCCAAAATCCCCCTTATGTCCCCTCCCAGTCACTACTCAAGAGTAACCACTATTTTGGCTTCCAACAGCATAGTGTGTTTAAATCTTGCATGTGGATATATAATCTTCCCTCCCCCCAAATTTAAATAGTAATTTAAATATAGTTTTTCTCCTAGAGCAGGCAAATGGCTCTAGGACTAAGCTGGAGTAGGAAATATCAGGACCTGAGCAACCACACACCACTAAGTGCACTCAGGAGAAGTTTTGCCTAGTGATCCTCAGGATACCAGGGGTCAGCGATTTATTCAAAGTCACACAGCTAATTAATTAGTATTGGGCTAGAACTTAGATCCAGGCGTTTAAAAGCCTAGTACAGAGATCAGGTGAAGAGAATTAATAAAGGGAGTGGTTTGGGGTAACTGGGTAACTCAGTGGGTTAAGTCTCTGACTTTAGCTCAGGTCATGATCTTGCGGTTCATGGCTTTGAGCCCGGTTCATGAATTCAAGCCCCACATCAGGCTGTCTGCTCTCAACACAGGGCCTGCTCTGGATCCTCCATACTCTTCTCATTCTGCCTCTTGCCCACTCTCACTCTATGAAAAATAAATAAAAATTTTTTAAGATGCCAAACACTTTAGAGGCACCTGGATGGCTTTGTTGGTTGAGTGTCCGACTTCGGCTCAGGGCATGATCTCACAGTTCATGAGTTCCAGCCCTGCCTTGGGCTCTGTGCTGACAGCACTGAGCCTGGAGCCTATTTGGGATTCTGTGTCTCCTTCTCTTTCTGTCCCTGCTCTGTTCATGCTCTGCCTCTCTCTCTCTTTCTCAAAAAAAATGAACATTAAAAAAAAAAAAAGCCAAACACTTATAAATAAATAAAGGGAGCAGTTTAGCAGAGTGAGCTAGGAGAGAGAACTCAGCAGTGTTTTCAGAGGCACAGCTGTGTGTGTGGGCGTGTGGGTGTGTAAGGGAACAGCTCTCCAGAACTGCTGTCTACCGCGGTCCTCACAGGACAATGTTCGGAAGCTTCTGGGCAGACACATGGGTAACAAAACTAAGAACAAGGGGGTTGGCTGGATTTGCTCTGATCAGTAATCTTAGGAGAATCAGAATACAGAGGCTTGCCTTTAACTGCACACTTGAACCAACAGGATCAAGAATGGTACTCTCTGTCATCATATTCAATCAAATCTCAGGGATGCCAAATGGTTTCTCATAGCAAATGACTGGAAACACCATAATGGTCCGTCAATAGAAAACTCAGTAATGAAATTACAGTACACACATACACTGAAATCACACATACGCTGAAATATGAAGTTCACATTTATTGTGTCCCTACCATGTGCCAAGCACTGTTCTAAATGACTTCATCTAATCTCACCATCACAGTATGAGATAGCTGAAATTATCATCATTTTGTAAAAAATATGAAGGTAGAGCCACATGTATTGACACAGCTTCCTCAGATTGTTTAATGCTTGGCTGAAGGGCCTTGGGAGGAAGGTGAGGGTAGGTTGGGCAAGTATAGGTGACAGACAAAAATCACAT